AAACATAGTTCTAATAGATAGGACCTGTTCATCACCTCATGGGGTTCTTCCTCATTTTCATTCTGTAATTCTTAACGGAGTAAATATTAAGCGGCTGTTTGACTGCAATTGTTTTCTATAATTCTATAATTCTGTCTCATTGAACCCCAGGTAGCCTCAGCAGATGGCCGCTCACACTGAGCCTGGTTCTGCTGGAGGTTTCTTCCTATTAAAAGGGAGTTTTCCTCTCCACTTTCGCTACAAGCATGCTTAGTGTGAGGGATTGCTGAAGAGTCAATGAGTCGATGCAATCAACTGGTTTCCTGAGATAGAAAAATTTGAACCAATCGGACTGGATGATCTGGTTGAATTGTCTCAGTACAGTGCCTTGAGATGACATGTGTTGTCAATTTGCACTATTTAAATACACAGAATTGAATTGTAATGCAGATGTGAGGTCTGATAAAGTCTGGATGTGATGGATTGTGAGGTGAAAATCTGAATATAAATGTATAAATACTTATTTCTCAGTGAATATTGCTGCTCATTCTTAAATAAATTCCTCGTCTAAAGGCATGCATAAAGACATGCTATGTTTGTGTTTTTAACACCTAATATATAACGTACCTAGTAAAATATTTTCTTTTTAATGTCTAAACAAAACCATGACAAAACTATCCAGACTAAATTAGGAAATAATACAATGTGATTGTTTACACTGAGTTCACTGAATAAAACCTTCTCCCCACCAGGTTAAGGAAGCAAACAGAGAGTTTTGATTAAATCTGACCTTAGGTGGCTATAACAGAATCAAAAAGAGTTCCAACCTTTAATCCGTCTCTTCCTGGCGCCCCAGGTGGTCCCTGTAGGAGTGATAAGGACATGATGATTTGCTCTTTAGGCTTATTTCAATTTCCACGTCCGATGGTACAAATCTGACACATTAAACTCTCTAATCACAAGAACACTGTGTCCTGCTGCTTCAGGATCAACCTTTTTATTCACAGAACGAAAAGCATCATAAATAGAAGAAGGGAGATGATTCCCGATGTCTTCATGACCAAATCAGTTTTATAAACTTTACATTACAAATCAGAAATTCGGCTTCTGTCAGTGGTGTTCATCTTTGTTTACCTGATTAATAGAACTGGATGGACTGTAAAGGTAAAAATGTACTTTTAAAAAAAAACATATTTATCTTTACTTCATCTTAAACGTCTCAAAACAGAAGAGCAGTGGAGAAAGTCTTATGAATTTCCAAAACAAACTGAGACAGAAAACAGTGAAGCCAAATGATTTCTTTCTACCTCTCAATGAAGCTTTATTTATTTTTGATTCATCACTTACAATACTGATAAAATACATTAAAGTTTAAATAAGAAGAAGCTTAGAGGTAGTAAGTTTAACTCCTCCCAATAAGTGGTGAAATCACTGCTCTTTTATATTGATGCTGGAAAGGTTTTTTTTGTTCTAAAAGCAAAATTATGGCATAATTGCTGCTTTAAGTGGGTCGCTCTGTCAGTTAAAGGCATGTTTTAGAGTCTCTATACTACAGTTAACAATTAATCGATTACTAAACTAGTTGATAGTTGTCGCTTATTCACGATTTATTGTTTCGGCCCTACTTTACAGTATGTTATTTGGATGCGTTATCATTTAATTTGGAGCTATGAACTTTAAGGGAGATCAATGCATTTTCCGAGTGCTGTATGCTGCAGAGAAAAGATGATGCTGGCTTCTCCACTCTTCTGACAAAAAGCTCCCCAACAGAATTCTTTTTGATCTTTCAAATGTTCAAAAAGGTCTGATTTCAGATTTTCTTTTTCTTTCACCTGCAGGTTTTTTATTGCAGCTGTAGCGATTAATGATATCTGTGGTTTAGAGAAAAACTCCACTGTCTGTCTGAATGTTGTTCCATTAATTCATGTCAACTTTGATTCCACTGAAAAACTTTTACTGTAATGCAGTAGTGAATGAGAACTGAAGCGGGAATATTTGGGTAATAAACTCATTTGGTGCTCTAGTTTTATGATGAGCAGGTGTGCAGGATTTAGGTATTGATCTAATGCTGTGAAGTAGAGACCTAAACCCTACAGCAGTCATTGTTACACAGATGGTTTTTCCTACCACTGGACCCCTGCGGCCTCTCTTGATGTGCCTGAGGTCTGGTTCTGGTCCCATAGGCCCCATGTCTCCCCTCGGACCCCTTGGACCAGGCGGACCCCTCTCCCCAGGCTTGCCATGGCTTCCTGGTTCTCCTGGATGTCCTGGTAAAGACAAACAGATGACATTTAATAGAGTAATGAGGCTTCTACCAACGTCCCAAAAACATTTCCCCTCCAGTAGTTGAATAAATAATCCTCCTTGGTCATCTCTTCCTTACCTGGGAGACCAGGAGCCCCTGGAGGGCCAGGTAATCCAGGCAGACAGGCGGTGTCCGTGCTTTTCCCCCCTCGAGCCGGTTTGTCGCTGCTGTTAGCCAAACCAGACACCTAAAAACACAACAGAGAAAGAAATTTCCATTAATGTTATCCTTCCCTGCTGCCTGATGTTCATCCGTTACTCCGTTTACTTTGTTAACAGAAATTTATTTTGGAACTGTGACATTAAGCTCGCTTTTCATCCATCAGCATAGAATTAAAACGCTTCGTTTCGGCTAAAGTTCTTTAAACTGAAGGGATTTCCTACCTGGTTGTGTGACTGTGTGTTTCCAAGCCGCAGCTTGAGCTGAAACAGGCTGCTTTTCATGTTCATGAAGTCCTGACAGGTGAACGAGCAGGAACCAGCGCTCATCAAGGTGTCGGACTTTCCCGAGGAGCTTACTTCGGGACAAAACAAAGATTTGTTCATTTTCTGCCATGAAGCGCAATATATCAAAACACATCAACAAAAAAAATAAAAAATAAAATAAAGCACTCAACAGCAATGATTTTATGATAGAAATGTTATAAAGTTCTGAACCCACTTAGCATCCTGATTAAACAGTTGGGTCCTGAAATCCAACACGGAAAATTAAACTGAACGATTAACATTTATTTTTAAATGCTCGAAGATAAAAAGATTTTGTAGAAATATTTGCATAGTTGACCCATAATTTGGGTCATGAGTCGTCTCTGATAGCCTTTCGTTGGTTCAAGGCTAAGAAATGCTGGGTCTCTAATTTAGAGTAATAGACTTCAACAAACATTTAACTTTAATGGAAGATATTTTAGTCACACAGTCCTGGTTACTGCTCACTTCTACATTATATGTCTCCACAATCTAGATTATTAAACCTTCCACACTATAATGTCTTTGTAAACAGACATCAGGGCTAAAAGACGGAGACTAAACAAAGGTAAAGAATTTTTTTTTTCAGATGTCAAAGTAGTTGTTGCTTATAATAATAAAATTAAATATTTTACAAACCTCTACTTGTGTTTTTAGGAAAATGTAAGCAATGCATTTTTTCTTTACATTTCTTTTTAAATGTTTAGTCCTGTTTCTCTCTTAGACAGTTATGGGCTCAGCTTTTACTGTTACTAACTATCCTTTATCCCTTTTCGCGTAGAAACTGGCTCAGAGATCATCTGAATAAACAGTTTCTTTCATAGACATTCACAGGAGGAGCTAGTTTAACTTTTCTAACATAAGTGTTTATAGAATAGTTCTTCTATGTCTCTTTTTGTACAGTATGTCTGCTTCTGTCTCCCTGATCCCACAGTCGGGCTCGGTAGATCTGCTGAATCTTTTTTCCCCAGTTAAACAGTTTTCCTCTCCACTGTTGCTGCATGCATGCTTACTGTGAGGAATTGCTTTCAAAAACAAAATTCAATTGAATATCTGCTGTCGCCACAAGCTCTTCCAAGAGAGGCAAGTCCTGCAAACTCAATATCTCGATGCACTCAGTTGGTTTTAACCAATCTGACTGGATGATCTGATTGAATTGTCTCAGTAAAGTGCTTTGAGATGACATGTTCTGAGTTGCATCTATTTAAATAAAATTAACTGAATTAATCCGCTTCCTGATTAACATTTTTATATTACAGTAATCATGCTCTTCTAAGTTGGTCCAAATGCTCCAAAAAGCATTAATAGTTTTCATTTTTGAGTTTTCACAAATAGAAAAAAAGGTTTTATTGTTGTGTTTAAAGCACTGAAATTTCTGTTTATAGTTTTAATGTTCAAGGTGATGGTCAAATAAAGTCCAGATTCTTGGAAAAAAAGAAACAAGGAAAAAATAGTCAATTTGTTTGATGCCAATTAAGCTCAAACACTGGGGGGGTGTTAGTCCATTTTCCCTAGAATGACTGATCAGTGCTTAGTAAATAAGCCCATGTTCGTTCCTAGTCATTGAAATCAGCAGTACATAGAACTGCTAACTTAGAGTCCATCAGTAAAAATAAAAAACAATTTAAAAGCAAACAATCCTGGATACGCAAATAAGATAAGAAAAGGCACAGCTGTAAAATGGCTTTTAATCCAACTGCTTGTGTTCACAGAAACCAAGTGGAAAACCCCCTTCCCCCAAAAAACAAGTATTTAAAGGAAAGTGAGTGTGATGACAGTGATCATTCTCAGGTGAAACACATGAACTCACGGTTCCGCACTGGGATGCAGGAGCGCTGGTCTGGAGCCAGGATGTACCCGGTGTGGCAGCGGCACTGAAAGCTCCCGACTGTGTTCACACATTCATGGTCGCATTGACTTTTACCATACGCCTCGCACTCGTTGATGTCTGCATGTACATTAAGCAGGCAGCAAACAGAGAAGGAACAGTGACATCAAAACCATTTACAACCTAAACAGATGAGGTTGTGAAGGCTGATATTAGAGGCATCTGTTTTTTATATGCAATTCGTTAGAGGAACTGATGAAATCAAACTTACCCAGGCAGTAGGGAGACTTGTGGGTACGGTGTCTTTCCCTGTCGAAGCGATAACCAGGGTAACATGTACAGACGACGCGACCAAAGTTATCAGTACACTGCTGCTCACACGGTGACGCCGCGCACACATCAACACCTGCAAAAAAAGAGTAGACTGACTCGTTCTGATGAAATACATCATTATTACATTAAATAAATAGTTGTAAATGTTTATTGAAATGAATAAATGTACCATGCAATACAAAAATGTAACACTAAACCATGCAATAAAATGAGCCATAAGATAATGAAATACTGTGTATCTTTAAAATGACGGTATTAAATAATGTAATTTCTTTAGATATAGATTAACTTACATTCATTGCATGATTTTAATCTGCATTTATTCATATTTATCATCATTATTTGTACTGTCAACTTCACCTCAAACTTAGGGGGTGGGACTTGGTTTCTGTTCATAATACAGTGTGTGATTGGCTGCTTCTCACTTACAATAATAAGGCAAATTTTTCAGGTTTTCTTTTACTTTAAGTCAACTTTTTTCACTGTGAAAGATTTAAATAATTTTCTAAAACATGTGGCCATTTATAACACATTGGGTGAGAAACTCCAACCTCTGAGATAGAAGGTGAGTTGGTGTTAGTCAGTGGGCGGGGCTAACTGATTCTGCTGACGTCTGTGAAGGACTCCCATCAAACCAGACCAGAGCAAGCTCTCTCCCAAGATCATTAGATCAATTGCAGATCAAACTGGGCTATAAAGGCTGGAGTATCTCACCCAATGAGCTGGAAATAAATAACAAAATCTTTTTTGGAAGTTTTTCTGCTTTTCCAGCTATAATACTGATTTTAAAGGTAAAAAAAAATAATTATTGGATGTGAGAAAACATTGCCAGATCATTTTCAGTGAGAATCAGCCAATCAGACATCAGGGCTCTATGGAAGTCCCGCCTACATTTATTTATTGTGTGCCTCAGTGGAGGAACATGAAATAAACTATTGAATCATAACATAAGTTTATCCACTTTTTAAAATTAAATGAATATATTCAGTTGAAGACAATTATATGTATTAGTTTAAATAAATTGATGACACATATAAATAATTATTAAAAAAGATATGTATCAATTATATTGTGGCACTTATTGCCCTCCATATACTCATCGCTTCATACACTATAGTGAGGGCTCCAGCAGATCATGGCAGAACATTCATCTTAACTGAGATGATAAAACCTTTTAGCTCTTACCCTATAAACTTTATAAAAAAACTTAATAGTAACTCGCTGTCTTTTTAAGCTTTATAGTATAAAGCTTAAATAGACAGTGAGTTACTATTTAATTGTTTTCACCTGGTAAGGTTGCTTAAAGTAGAGCAGTAATTCCGACATTGTATAAACACACAGAAAATATTCACTGTAACTTTAAGATGTGCACTTTTCTCTCATTTCATTGTTTAACTGAGTTTTACTAATTCGGTTCAAAGAGAACATTCCTCTGATCCCTACAGGCCTCATTTCACAACTGCTGAAAGTTTTAGTGTAATGGAGGTACGCAGGATTGCTTTAATCTCTGAAGAAAAGTTTTCCTGGTGTGAGTCCAGAAAGCTTGCTTCCAGTAACATGGAACAATTATTATTATGCTTTATTTACTGAAATCAGTGCATCACTGGTTATTCTCAGGATAGAGAAACAGCGCCCCCTGGTGGTTAATACAAAGAAGTAAAGATGTGCAGATGTTATTGCTTGAATATTTTAGAAGTTTAATTTCTTCATGCATTTTTTTTCAACTTACCCTCTACAAAAGCATTATTTGCTTGCAAAAATAATGGAATAAAGTTCACTTGATACACATGAAGGATCAAAATAAAAAAAATATGAGCCTCACAGCCTAACCTGACAAGCATTAATATCGTTTCTAAGCACCAGCAGGGCGATTTTCCACAGACCTGTAGACAACTTCCTTTTTTCTATTTCTTCACCTTACAAATGCTTTGTATTTATTTGTTCTTTAGCTAATGATTTGTGGAGGCCCCAGAGAATCACTGCAAAGATCTCACAATAAAAAAAATATAATAATCATAGCAGGAAGACAGTAATTACTGAAAAGCAATTACCAGCTTCCATGTGGGGAAAAAAGAGACAGAAGAAGAGTTTTTCCTTCCAACAGAACAACAGCCCTAAATATCCGGCCAAAGCATTAAATTAGGTTATTCGTTTTTAGGAAACTTGTTAGCACTTATTGGAAATTACAACCCTTAATCAGGCATCAAACATTCTTATCATGAGTCCCACTTTAGTTTATGATATTTGATGCACCTTTTTCAAATAGCTTTAAGCAGGACATCTTTTAAATGTTTTAATCATATTTTCTTTTACTTCACATTTCTGCTTTTGATTTGTATCATTTAAAATACTCAAATATACACATTTGTGGTTACAGTAAAATAAACTGTATCGGAAGTGTGTATTAATACTTTGCCTGGTACAAAAGTTTGCATTTTTTTTTAGGTTTTCCCCTAACCATTGCAGAATAAAACTTTAAATAATATAATAGCAAAACAAAAAGCAGCATCAAAGTCATGATTGAGGGTAAACATGTTAGCTCAGATTGTGTTTTATGAGCAGATCAGTGTATGGTTTACCTACTTTCAGGAATGCACTGGCCCATCACAAACCTGAATCCATCACAGCACTTCCTCCTGTATCAATAAAGAACAGAAAATTAATGCTTTTACATTTTTTTAATAAGATCAGGAAGCCCAGGATTTATTTACACAATTAGTTTTCCTTCCAGAGGATAGGAGGGTAAAAAAAAAACAATATAAATCCTTGTATAAGTATCTGTTTATTTTAAGAGCCTGTTAACATACTGTTGTAAAGGAGAACATAACAAAAAAAAAGAGATTTGGAAAATAAACATTTCCTTGTTTGTGTTCCTATCAGGAAACATAAATGTATTTATTTGCATGTAATACAAGATATCTGTGGCCCAATTCAATGACTTAACTGGATTTTGCAGTAAAAGCAGCATTTAGCTGAGGTTTAATCACAACATGAAAATTAAATTATGTTTAAAGTATAAAACTGTTCAACAGAACAGAACCAGCTATAAGATGAGTGAGGGAATAGGCAAATAAAACCCTGCTGAGAATTACATTATGAAGCTGGTGGATAAAGTAAACACAGAGTGAACTGCTGTGCTAACAACCGAACGTCTGATAAGAATAACTGCAGAGAGTGAATGTTGATCTTTCCATCTTGAGTCAGAGGACAACAGAGGACAGCTGGATGGAGCAACAATCAGAAACGGTGAAGCAGTGAAGATCTGGACACCAGCCCTCATTAAGAAGCTTTCAGGTCATTCACCCTGCTGTACTAATGATGTGTCTATGGGGGGAATTTTGTTCCATTATTGCTGCAAATGAAGAGCAGGCTTTGTAAATGGAAATTTGAAAGAAATGACATACAGAAATAAAACAAAAAAAATTGTTAATAAAAAAAAGGTTTAGAGTAACTTTGCTGTTGTCGTTTTTTTTTTTAGATTTTTATAAAAATATGTATTTTAAAACAGCTTTTTTTTTTAACTGTTTTTAGATTAAGTTTTTTAGGTTTCTTTATTCTATTTTTTTCAAATTTATTTGTTAGTTATTTTCTAAATTGTATTTTTTTATGTATCTTTTTTCAAATTTTTTTTTGTCAGGTTGAGTTTTACTCACTATCTTCTTTTCAAAATGCGATTATTAGGTCATATTCCCTGGCGCGGGCTTTCCTCTGGATTGAGGAGCCAAGACACATTTCTATCGTTCTGCGTGTTAGAAAGGTTATTTTTATTGGTCAACAGTGAAGATTTTTAATTGGCTTGAAGAGAAGAAAATATCTGTAGAAAAAAATGCAATTCATAGAATTCAATCTGAAAAAAATGAAGTAAAAAAGGAGTATTTATTGGTTTCACAGGAAGTGACGATTTTGGCGTTTTATCCAATCCAGGCTCTGCTTTCTCACTGCTTACCTCAACAGATGGAGGCTCAAATTTCAAAAGGCATTTCTCACAGAGGCTGAAGCAGCGTCCTGCTGCTCCAGAGAAGAGGGGAGTTCAAGAGTGGAATAAACAGCTGATTGACGCGCAACATATTCATGAAATCAGGTGCATTTTACCACATATTTAGTCCAGTTTATGACTACATTTATGAAATTTGACAATGCATATTCTACAAATAATTTTAGGAAATTTAAAAGTGAGGTTTAGCCTCTCTATTATTCAGTAAGAATTTGCCACTGCTGTAGAGCCGTTAACTTTAATAACATCACGTGGTCTTCAACAACGCCGAGCTGCAGCTCTACCGCAATGTAATGCAGGATGGTCAGGCTCTATTAAGTAGCCACCTTGATTTTTTTACCATGTGGCTTTCTGACAGTTATGCAGTACTCCCAAAAGGTGGAACCAAAACTGTTTATGTTTGATATCACTCCCAGTGCTGGAATTCTATTTAGGCTCAAAATTGTAAATCTAAACACTATCAGGATGATGGATGGTTGGTAAAATTAACCTTTTTTCTTCATGATAAAATAGTTTTTGGTCATTTTTGCAAAGACACACAACATGACTAAGCACCTTCAATTTTATTATTATCATCAACAATAATAGCAAGAAAAGTTCCCCATTTGTGCAAGAAAGATATTTTTTTTCTTTGTAACCACAATGATTTCAAATGTTTTGGAAGCATCAGTCACCCAGTGAACCCACAACAATCCACCACATACTGCAGATGTTACAGCAAGAAGGAACTGCAAGAACTCAGAAAGTGACCACAGTACAAATATCACACATGAACGTCACGCAGACAATGAAGGAAAAGCCAGAAGGCCATTTAAAATGCTGCATCATTCACAGACCACTCTCAGATAGAAAGTGTTTTTTTCCCCATATAACCTATAAAACATAGAGGCTGGCCCACACTGATGAGATCCAGATGAGGACAGCTTTAATCTGCAGCCTGTAGCTGGGAGCACTGAGAAGGTTGGAGAAAGCCAGAGGTGGAGGTGAGGTGGAGAAAGTAGAGGGAATGCTAACATTAAGACAGTCACTCATTCAGTCGATCCATCAATCAGTCACTCAGCTCTTCTAAGATGGTTAATGGCTTACAGATGCCAGAAGCTCTTTACATGAATGTATGCAAGAAACAAAAGGTTTGCCTGAGTCTTACCTCCTCTATGAAAGTAAGGAAGTAAACTAATGGATTTGTTCATAGTGAAGAGCAAATAGTGCCACAGTAGATGAGTATGGAGAGATTGTGGCTCGGTCACATGTTAGGGGTTAGTCTGACCCATTTCTGCATCTCAGTTCAGATGTCTGAATTTCTTCCTTCCCATAATAACCCTCCCTTAAATACTTGAGCTATTTCCCATTTAGTAATTTTGGCTCTCTTAGGTGTTGTAGGATGACTTTATGTGTTGTTGGCTTGTTTTTTTATATGTAAGAATGGTTTCAAAAAGAGAAAAAGAAAAACACAAAAACCTTTTTTAAGAGGTTTTACTCTCCTTGCCACAGAAATCAGAGCCATCAAAGAAGACTTTAAGATATTCTATTCTACATCTGATGGTAGAAAGCAGGCTTGTCAGAGACGTTAGCTTCATCTGAACGCATATTCTGGTTGTTTGTGCTTCAACAACAATGGTAAATGGCCTATAATGTATAATATAGAGACTTGAAAAAGAGCTTTACACTAAATTCAGTCATTCACACACTGATGGTGGTAAGCTTAATTGTAGCCACAGCTGCCCTGTGTTCACTGACAGGCTTCAAAGCATCCGATGCACGTCAAGCAGATTCCTAAACAGCTTCTTCCCCACCGCCATTAGACTGCTGAATGTTGAATAAAACGGAAAAAAACAAAAACGCTGAATGTTGAAAAACTGTAAATCGTATCTCAGTCTTATGTTTACATCTGATCACCATCCTTACATTTTATCACTGCTGCACTTTGGAAA